GTTTTGTGCTGGATCGAAAATTGAAGGCCTTGAAAAGGGATATGAAGAGGTGGAATGAGGAGGTGGTGAGAGGTATTAACTAGTCAGAAAAATCAATGCATTTCAGATATAGAAGAGTTGGATAGAAGGGAAGAGAGTCGAGGATTGGTAGGGGATGAGAGGGAGAGACATGGAGAATTTAGGGGAGAATTCGAGAGGTTGGTGGAGATGGAGGAAATTGCTTGGCGTAAAAAATATAGCATCAAGTGGTTGAAGGAGTGGGACAAATGCACTCAGTTTTTCCAAGGGTTTGCTAATTCAAACAGACGAAACAATTATATTACTTTGTTGGAGGAAAATAGGGTTACTTATGAGGAACTGTAGGATATTGGGTTCCAAATAGTAAGTTTCTATCAACTCTTTATCGGGAGCAGTTTGGATAGGGGCCAAGTTCGAAGGGATGGATTTTTCTATTATTAATGAGGATGATGTCAGTTGGTTAGAGAGACCATTTGGTGAGGATGAAATTAAGGAGGTGGTGTTCAGCATGAATGACGACAAGGCTCCAGGACCGGATGTTCTCATTCTATAAGGTTTGTAGGGAAGTGGTGCGATTGGATATTGTGAATGTCCTTACTTATTTCTTCCAATGTGGCAGGTTCTTTAAAAGCTCCAATGCTACATTTATTGTGTTGATTCCTAAGAAACCAGAAGCGACGGATATGAAGGACTTCCGACCTATCAGTTTAGTGATTGGGGTGTACAAGATTATTGCAAATATTCTGCTGAACAAATTACAGGAGGTGTTGGGGAGTTTCATAATGCTTTTGTTAAAGGGTGCTATATTCTAGATTTCGTACTTATAGCGAATGAATGCATCTAGGGGTTCTAGGAATGTTATGTAAGCTTGACATCCAGAAGGCTTATGATCGTGTAGATTGGGGATTTCTTTTGTATATACTCAGGCAATGTGGCTTCCGGATAAGTGGTGCCAGTGGATTCAGTTTTATATCTCTACAGTTTCTTTCTCGATTATGGTGAACGGTACTCTTGAGGGTTATTTTCGGAGTAGTAGAGGACTAAAGCAAGGTGATCATTTGTCTCCATTACTTTTTGTTATTGTAATGGAGGCTTTCAGTAGGATGCTTGAGAAGGCTGTGGAGGAGAGATTATTAAAGGCTTTATGATTGACCAGTTGCAGGTATCTCACTTGTTTGTAGATGATTGATCTTTTGTGATGCAGATATTGAGCAATTTAGGAACCTGCATCATTTGCTTCTATGCTTCAAAGAGACTTATTGTTGCATTTGTTATTTGCTCGATAGTTGTTCTGTTTCTCAACCTCCTTACCTAGAATGTGTTGAGAATGAGGTGTTTGTAAAATTTTAAGGTAATAATCCTATGGTTGGTAGCAAGACTTCTAAATTTTTTATGTGCCCAAGGTTTTCTGGGAGCTAACAGGGTATTCCTGATGCTTGGCATTAATTGGAACAAATTTGTTGTATTTTTTTAAATATTTTTTCTTTGGAGACTTGGGCAGATAGTGGACAGGTGCTGATTTTGAATAAATATCATAGCTATTTTTTACTCAAAATTCTCGAGAGAATATTTGTAGCTGAAATAACGAATCTAATTTGAGATAACAGCAAGGATAGCACTGAAGTTTATAATGCATCCTGTTCCTATTCACTCTCCCCCGCAGTATCAATGCTCATGATTTCAAACATGATATAAGCCTTTCCTGGCTCAGTCACCTGATATGGACCATATCCATTTCTGAAGTATCGTATGTTTCTACCTACAACAGAGATTTTTTAAAAATTTGGCCGCCTTCATCAACCATTAAAGATTTGATCAGATATTTGTTTCTTGCTCCCACCCTTTTGTTGAGAACAGATATAAGGATGGAAATATCCAACTATGGGCTTCTGAGCATCCTTGTATACCTGCTAGCAATTAAAAATGTAGTAAATTATTCGTGGCTTATGATTTCTATTCTATAGTTGCTACAAATATGTATACCTACGGAACTCCCACTTTCTGTCATTAAATTAGAATACTAGGTGTTCTTTCATTATGTTGTGTAACTATACCTAGTATTGTAGCTTGGCCGAGATCTTGCGACGTTATCATAGCCATGTTGAAGCTGAACCAAGTGCCTCTGCAGGAGTTTGTGAGACACAGGTCAAATTCACTTCTATACTCATTTACGGTTATTTTTTCTAATAATAGATTGAGTTATTAACATGAAACATCTTATTACTTGCACAAATGGAATGGTATCCGAGGCTCTCCTATCTTTATTCACGCATAAATAATCAGGATCAAATTTAAATTCAAGGGGTCTTTCTGTAAATTCAGATGAAGAAGAATCTATAGAATATTTTCTATAATATAGATGGGATTGTCTATCATTATAGGAAAATCATCATTTGAGATTTAGTCTATTTCTAAGCATCTCCAATACATTCACAGACTATATTAGAAATGCCTTTCAAAAATAAAATTTGTGTTGAAAATTTTTGAAGGTTTGGATTTAAACTGTGATTCTTAAAACTAATAGTCTGCAGCTAAAAAAACTATGACCAGATTCTTAGCTGTATTTGTTATGAACCCGATGGTCACAGACTGGTGATCCATCTTTACATGAATTTGCAACAGAACGCTAATTAACTGTTTTTATGAGTTAACATCCTGACATCACAAATGAGACCAATGGAATTGTGCAAGGACAAATGCTCAGTGTCATCAACATTTTATATTATTGAATTTTTCAGATCTTACTGCAACCTTTGAAACCTTGTCCTGAGTATAGCAGGGTGATATACAGAATATAAACTAGAATACACTTCTATGTATATGATCTTATATTCAAATGATTGGTCACTATTTTGCAAATGCTTTTTCCTGAATTTGTGTGTTCGCATTAGTTTTTATAATTCGATATGTTCTTTCTGTTGTTTGCGTGAAGGAATATACCTCCAACTATGCAAGTTTCTTGTCAAGTGAAGAGCTTCTGCAAATCGTGGAAAGGCAACTACTTCATCCTCTAGTTTAGCTTTCCCTATAAGTGCCTATGCCCAAGATTGTTTCATTTTTTTCTCAGGGATCTCAGAGAGCCATATGTTGATAACATCAGTATAAATGACCTTGTGCATTTGGAGGAACAACTCCAGGCTGCACTAATAACAGCAAGATCTACAAAGGTCAATTTTTTAAAACAATTCAATTTTCTATTTAGAATACATTACCTTCAGAAGGAACAGCCCCAGGCTGTACTATTCAGAACAAGATCTAAAGACGTCGAATTTTTCTACTTTCTCAGCACAAGATCTGAAAAGGACGAAGAAATCTTTTCTACTGTTATTGTCACATCTTCAGAGAACACTAACTTCGAGTAGCTATTCTCCTATTTTCAACCTTCTATATTTTTCCTGAAGATATTCTCGGAGAATGCAAATATTTTCTTTAGATGATGGGGGTATAATTGAATAGAGCATTTATTTATTTATATTTGCAGTTTGATATCGGCAAGGGAGAAAACTATAAATCTGCAAGGGCAGAAGCAGAATTAGAAGTGTGGCTTCTGGAAGTTATGAAGGAGAAATCAGTTTTATACGAAACTAGAGCGTTATCATTCAGCATGTGAAACATAAGAACACAAGATCTTTCAGTAAGAACAAAGACATTAAAGATAGGTGGAAAAGCTACTTCTTAATATTTTCTCAAAGTTAAATAAGCAAAAAATCAATAAAAAATAAAACAAGAGGGAAAGGAACCAGCAGTTAATGAATATCAAACCCAGATCTGTGGAGTTTCATATGTGGCAGATTCGGTCCCAACAAAATTGATGAAATTTTATTGATGCAAACAATCAATTCTGCTTTCCAAACATCAAGGTTGGTTTTTTGAATGGGTTGGGTTTAGTTTTTGCACATTTATTTATGGTTGCGATTTGCGAAGCTTGCGTTGCTATAATGCTCATTGAGTTTTTATCTATGTAGACACATCTGATGCTGCAATCTGTGACCAGTCTTCATGAAAAGGTTTGAGGTTTTCCATTCCTTGTGGAACTTGGTTTGCAAATTTTCCCATTTGTTGTGGAACTTATGTTACTGGCCTCCAGGCTTTCTGAATTTATTAATATTTAAAAAGAAAATTTATTTCATGAAGTCCAATAGGATATGTCAAATCTGTTTGGATGAGTTATGAACCTAGAAAGGGTTAATTTTGCCATCTCAAAAATCATTATGTTACTGGCCTGCAGGCTTTCTGAATTTATTAATATCTAAAAAGAAAATTTCTATTAAAGAGTCCAATAGGATACGTCAGAGCTGTTTGGATGAGATACAATTTATGAACCTAGAAAGGGGTTAATTTGCCATCTCAAAATCATTATGGTTTCACTCAAGCATAGCTACCCATGGACAAGGAATTAACACTCTGAACTTCTCTTTCTGGTATTCTGTAAGCATTTTTAATATTTGAGCCTAGATCTCTTAAATAAGCCATCACTATCCTGCTCTTATCAGTGCGCTCTCTAAGCTGAATACCTTAACTTGATTTGCACATCGGTCCCAATTCCTTGCCACTGGTAGCTAAGCTAATTAGCATATGTAGACAATGGAAATTCTAACCAGGCTTAGCATGATAGGAGAACCAGGAAAACATGGTGCATTGTTGAGAAAAGAAGTAGGTTTGGCGGAAGATAGAGCATCTTTGCTGTCTTAAATAGAGTCCTGTGAGGATCACATCCAGTAGAAACTTGACAGTCTTCATAGTATAGCTTAAATCACGATTAGCAGCAAAAAATCAAAGTTCGAAGGCAGCCTAGTTGATGCAATTGACAAGTTTTGGAACCAAGAATAATTTTTTTTACATTGCAAATGTTTGCAATAAGCAGCCGTATGCCTATTTTCTCTGCTTGGCTATCAGATTCAACACACGGAGAAATGAGGAACTAGGAAAAGAGTAAAACCAGAAGGGCAAGTTTGTAGCTAGTACAACTAGACAGAGGAACATTTTATCTTCTTTTTATTCCTTTAAACTACCAACACTGTCTAGACTTCCATGCCAAACATAGCCACTTGATACTGTAATCAGCAGGTTATTGCTTTCACAAACAATATTTTTCCTGTATGATTTCAGTTTTAGAGGAATAAGATGTTTGTATCTCGCCTTTGCAAATCACAGTATAAAACGCTATATTTGGTTTGGGGAAATCTCACTGTCATCCTTTTAGTGCAGAAGATTTATTTTGTCCAAGTGATCCTGTCTATCGAGCATATTTGCTGATATACTGTACCACTTAATCAGTCATAGAATCTAATTGTAAGAGAATCTTGCAACATTTGAGACAATGGGGGTGTATCCGTAAGATATCATCGCACTCCTTACTACCATGAAACTATTTGATGTTCTGATCTAATTGCAGTCTCCTTGGAGTAGAACTCGTTGATTTATGACATTGAAACCTAAGAACCCTATGCATAGACATCTTTAGTGCTGCTATGTTGCAGACATCTTTACTGCTGATATGTTCATGAACTTAAAACCTTGTCAAATCGTTGAGATTTCAGTTGACTACCATTTTTATGGCTCCAAGCTTAGTGGTTTGAAAAGTTGATTGTTCAAAGAGTTGTGTATACTCTGATTCTTAAAAGTTAATTTGGGCAATTACTCGTATAGCAAGTGAGAAAAGTAAATGATAGCTTCCATCAAACAGGTTTAAGAATAGAAATTGCTTTAAAAAAATAATGATGCCAGTTCTGATGGAAAATGAAACAGAATCCATTGCAAAGATACATATATCTCGTTTGATGTTAAGAGAAACAATACATATTCAATAATACAAGAGGTAATAAATTGGAAGAGTGAATGTCACAAGATTATTCGACATCTGCTTTGCAATACAGTCTGAGTTACTTACCTGGTGTCCTTTTTGGGCAGGAAAAGAAGCTGACAGAAGACAATAGGCTTCTAGAGGAAAAGGTGAACCAAGTCGGAACAAAAACCTCACCTAACAGAAAATTTAAGAATTTTAGTTTCACCGGTTGATCAGGAAAATAAATGTCAATTCGTTTATTTAAAAACTGTTGATTACTGAGCACCATAATATTGCAGATTGCTGGAAACAGGATAGCCATGGGAGCACGCGGCCAAATGGTATCTGGAGATAAGCAACATGCATTACTTGATTTGCTCAAAAGTAACTAAATCTACAGCTGGACGACTGTAAAGGTCAGCCGAAATTCAATAATTGTATTGAGACATTTCTATGTATTAACAGTTAATGCATGGTCTTTGCTGCTTAAATATGCTATATCTCCTATCTTCAATGTTGCAGACATAATTAGTCTTTCCTGCTTAGTCATACGTTATGTAATGAAGAACTATCGAGTGTTTCTGAAAAGCTGCTTGTATTTTGCATGTAAAAACTTTGTAGGAGGACAAAATGCTCGTTCGTAACTTAAATAGATTCCATAGTAGCTCCAAAATTTTGTACAGCAGTAATGCTAACAAGGAGTTGGTAGGGCTTATAACTTGTGGGTCACGCATCCTTAGATGATTGATCAAACCTAAAGGACTTCCAAACATGGTAGAAGTTGCCAAAGGTGAAAGGAATCAAGAACACTGGTGACGTACTCAATAGTCTTAGCCTTTTTAGCCCTTCTAAGAACCTCCTTAAATGAACAAAAAGCGCGAGAGAGTGCTTGTTCGGTATTGGAAAATGAACTTGGTATCCGACAACCCTACACAGAAACTGGAGTAAACGCTTGGTGAAGATTGTTCCACGTTGCAGCTAATATGTTATTATCATCGGCAGCAATGCAATGGTCTGTGTTTGGCTAAGCATAAGAAGTTAACCGACATAGACAAACCCAGTTTACGCTAAGATCATATCAGCTGTCTGAAGCAGAATATTTATTCTAAAAGAAAGAATTGAGAAATCATTTTAAAAGTTAAATTTAATTCCAAAGCTTGAAAGAATTGAAAAATCTTTTTAAAAGCTAAATTTAATTCCAAAGCTTGAACCCCGTATCCGTTTATTATATCCAGTGCCAGTGGCATCAAGGCACGAAGGTTCAATTTACAGAACAGCAATAAATAACCAAGGAACATTGTTTTTATATACACGGAATTGACGAGAGATGCGATTTGCATGGGCGAAGTTTTGAACAAAAAGCGCGAGAGAGTGCTTGTTCGGTATTGGAAAATGAACTTGGTATCCGACAACCCTACACAGAAACTGGAGTAAACGCTTGGTGAAGATTGTTCCACGTTGCAGCTAATATGTTATTATCATCGGCAGCAATGCAATGGTCTGTGTTTGGCTAAGCATAAGAAGAAGTTAACCGACATAGACAAACCCAGTTTACGCTAAGATCATATCAGCTGTCTGAAGCAGAATATTTATTCTAAAAGAAAGAATTGAGAAATCATTTTAAAAGTTAAATTTAATTCCAAAGCTTGAAAGAATTGAAAAATCTTTTTAAAAGCTAAATTTAATTCCAAAGCTTGAACCCCGTATCCGTTTATTATATCCAGTGCCAGTGGCATCAAGGCACGAAGGTTCAATTTACAGAACAGCAATAAATAACCAAGGAACATTGTTTTTATATACACGGAATTGACGAGAGATGCGATTTGCATGGGCGAAGTTTCTGCTTATAAGATTGACGTGGCAAAGTGACCCCAGTAGAAGTTGAGAAAGTATTCAGTATTCATTTGGTGATTTAAGTTCATCTTTTAGAACTTTATTTTTTCTTAAACTAATTTTTAATTATGCATTTTATGGGATCTATAATGGCTGCATCTTTGCATAACAAAATGGCAATGGACGAATTTCACGTACGATTTTCCGTGAATGAGTGAAACAAGAAATCAATATCTTTGTCTGAATGCATACTTTATGGAGGAAAGAAAACAAAAAACAGCAAAAATTGCATTCAAACTTACATATGACAGAAGTTTCTTCATTCTGTGAAAATCACTTCAATACATAAACCGCCTTCTGAAGGAAAAACTTCAGGCCATAAAACTGGCCACGTATAGCCAACGTAGCTAATAGCTACCTTTTGATTGGCACATCAAACGAAACCTTGGACATGAGAAAAGTGTAATTACAGACGTTGTGGTTAGAATTAACGATGAACCTTAACTTGAAGTTGCTGTTTTTTGTTTAATTCTTGTCTTTTGAGTTGATTGTAATTATCCCCGTATTTAATTTTGAAACTTGATTATTATTATTATTATTAGAATGTGTATGTAATTTATATTATTTTTAAGAGATACGATATAAATTAGCACGTGTTATTAAAAAATATATGATCTTAGAGAACTAATGAATGCTTGGATGTTCACAATTTAATCAGAGACAATTCAAATTCATATTTATAATATGATTGATAAAGTAGATAATCAATTTTCGTGGGACGATAGTATTAACGATATGTTCCCTTGTAGGATAAAATGAATACGCTGCCAACCAAATAATTTATGTTAGGTTAGGGAAATTTTGAAATAAATCGAAGTTCAGTTATCCAACTGAAACACATTAAAGTTTAATAATCCAGTTAAAATTTTGTTCAAAGTTCAGTATCATGGTTGAAATTTACACGATTTTTGTGCTCAAAGGAAATATGAAAATATTTTTGGACAAGACTAGACACTCAAGTCCCTGTTTGACAATCATTTTTTCAAAACTCTTTTTGCCGCGTACTTATTTTCAACCACATATTTTCATAATAAAATATTTTTTTTAACGTAAACTCAAATCTTTTTCATATTTTGCAACCACACATTCTCCAAAAATTTACTATTGGAAAACTTAGGCCCTGTTCTCTTTACCGTTTTCTGGTCGTTTTCTGTTTTCGATTTTTCAAAACGGTGAAAACGTGTTCTCTTTCCCGTTTTCGAAAACGAATTCATTTTCGAAAACGTTTTCGAAAACGAAAAAAAATTTGTGAAGAAAACACAAAACGACTTTTTTGTCGTTTTGGGCGTTTTCAGTGTAAAACTTGAAAAAATTGAAAACGCGGGAAACACTT